TTTATTCCCTTTCCTTTCATCACTATATCTTGGTCAAATGTCACGATTTGTGGCCGACTCTTGTTACCAAGCAATGGAGACGTTCGAATTAATGAGAACGCCAGCTTCTTTTTGCTACTTTTGCTCTTAGCTGCTTGAAAACAGAAAAGACAGTAAGTTAATTAGTTATTAATGCGGATGTTAATAGAATAAATTAATAATCTCTGATTATTTCACGACTGTAATCACTACCGCCATTAATAACATATTTTCAATATTTTTTTTTGTTCATAATGTACAAAACAATATACCTCTTGTCAGGCTCATTAGTGCACCGCTCATTTGATTGGATAGTTTGCTTTCATCAGCAGCTTCTCTGTATTCCTCTTGTCTTGTCTTGATTTGCTTGTTAAACGATTGTTTTTCCTCTGTCACAAGTTTGGCTAAAGCGTTGCTAATCATTTGTATAGTTTCAGACTTTAGTACATCATCGCCATCGTCTTGTTCCTGGTAACTATCCAAATCTCGGAGTTTCTTCTCTAAATTGTTATTTTTCTTGAATTCTTTCTTAATATTGATAATCGTTTCGCGATCAATCTTATTTATCCAATCGTCGTGGCTAACATGCACTCGTTTGATTGAGGATTGTGATCTTATTTTAACTACCAGGTTCATCAAGTCGTCCGCTGTATTCTCGGCCACTCTTGTTTTGCTTTTTAAACCTTCAATTTCTGAGACCAACCTAGGTACGACCTCTGCTATTGCTTGTAATTGTTCAATTCGAGATGCTTGATACACTACTGTAGCTTGGAGATCAGCGTTACTCTTCAGAACATTTTGAAAAAATGTTTCTAACTGTTCATATTTGTTGATAACCTCATTTATCTTTACTGTGAGTAGTTCTGGATCCATTTGTGATACATGCTCTACTTTATCATTCTCTGTCCATTCCTCGCCATTCGTGATAGAGATACAGAATATGCAAATGATTACAAATATAGTTGCCATGATGAAGCAATGTTCGTTGTTGATGTATACCTTCTACAGACTCTCCCTTGCCGTTTTCGACTTAATTTCTGGTAACAAGTCTGTGGTCCCTTAAAGCGAACACTGGTATGATTCAACGGGCGTCCACATCCACCGTGTATTTGTTTTAGAATGAGGTCAATTCGCCGAAATGACCGGCCTCGGTTGATAACTCTGTACACTCATCTGGTATGGATAAAGTTAAGCTGTATCAATGATGCGAGATCAGTTTTCGTTGTCCTGACAATGCTAACACATGTTTCTCGTCGTTTTCTTTATTATTAACTACAGCGAATACGTCACTTGGTCGAGGGGCAAAGTTCGTTATATTAGTCATTGAAACAGACGTGTTGTAAACAAATACAGGTAATAAGTCTACAACAATGACTGTCACATATTGTTTGTTTTGATACTAAATAATAACAAAATAAATAAAATTTCAGTGACAACTGATTGGAAACTATGGTTGGTTTGTTGCTATTATGTGACGGATGTGTTACGAACATGCGTGAGGGCGTATGTAAGTTACAAATTCCAATTCCAATCTACGAATGGATTACCCGAAATACTCATAATAAAAATTTGAATCCTCAAAGGAATCTCCTTGAATAACACAATGTATAGTCAGAGTCAGGTGGAAGACGAAATCCATTTTCTCATTTAAAGTAACAAAAACCAGGATCACAGAAAGTTATACAACATATTCGACTTACACCGAAGTAAATTTACTTTTCTAGTAAGGAGCTGATAGTTTGCATCAATATAGTAAAATTAATCAAAAGTTGTTGGCATATCAAACTAGGTTAATAGTAGGTGTTTTCTGTTCTTGAATTCAAGTTGGTTGTAATTTGAAGGTTTTTTTTATTATTGTTAAAAATTCCCATTCTATCTGGAGAATGTGTAAGTGTTATGAAGGTATAAATGCTGGACCGTGGGCACTCGGGCCCTTATTATGTTTTTGTGTTTTCCCATTACACCTTTAGAAAATGTCGGCTACAAATTTTCGCAGATCTACTACAAATATTAAAATGCGATTTGAAAATAGCAATAATAATAATAGCAATATATGATTTTTTTTAATGGCCATTATCTACGCTGTGGTTCTTTAGTTTGTGTCAATTGGATTTACGAAAAAAATATTTACCAACGGACGGGTATCGGTTGGACTACGATTTACCCACGGACGGGTATCGGTTGGACTACGATTTACCCACGGACGGGTCTTGGCTGGACTACGATTTACCCACGGACGAGTATCGGTTGGACTACGATTTACCCACTGAAGGGTCTCGGTTGGACTGCGATTTACCCACGGAAGTGTCTCGGTTGGACTACGATTTACCCACCGAAGGGTTTCGGTTGGACTGCCATTTACCTACAGACGGGTCTTGGTCGAACTGAGATTTACCTACGGACGGGTCTTGGTTGAACTGCGATTTACAAATGGACGGGTGTCGGTTAGCGAGTTACCCACGGATATGATAAGACCATGATAAGACGTACATTGCATGAATAATTAGTGTATTAGTGTAATACCGTACCGGTAATTGTATTTGTGCCAATAATGTGACGTGTCGTTGATCACAGCGGAAATAACTCAGTGTCACGAAGGTTGATTCACTGTAGGCTTGCTACCGAATGGTATGCTCGCGTCAGAGTAAATAAATAAATAAATTAGACGATACGAATTTAATGGTGGCTCTACGGTAGTTTAGAACCATCTATAAAAGCCCTTGCGACGTACTGTGACATCATGCATCATCTTCGTATAGTGTAATACACATAGATAGCCAGTATTATCCCACTTTAAGGTTTTCACAAGCGTTGTAATTGCCCGGTGCATCGAACTTCTAACTCAACTTTATTTACTCAATTATATTAACTTTTGGAGCAACTGGTTGACAGAAAAACAATGTTTATACGACTTTTGGTCAGGTGACCCAGTGTTATTGACGGAAACACCGCGAGAGAGTGTGGATTATCGGGATTCTAATCAAAAGTAGCTCTGCTTTAGTTGACGAAAAAGAAGGGGGTTTCGAACCCACAGAATCAGTGATAAAGGTAAAGTGGCTGAGCTATTGGATTTCCGATGGGGGTATGTGGGGGGGGGGTATATACTAGTATTAGAAAGCATTGAATTAGTCATAGGCAAATAAATCTTTTGTATTTATGAAAATTAACGCACGTTCAGCACTGTGCAACCGATTGCAGAATTATTCAATTCCACCGTTTTTACGTAGTGTAAGTCAGAAACCTTCCCTAGAAAGTGTGGGTTTACTTGATATATAAATTTACATAATTATTTTTTATTCGTATTATTGTTTGTAATCTTTTTATTTACTTATTAACACACAACATCCCCCGGGAATGAAAGGGGTTACAATCAGATATTAGTAAAAGAAAAATAACTACATAAAAAAATGATAAAAATTTGTATACAAGTAATGTGTTACTGGCTTAGTTTATGTAGGAGCTGCTGTCTTATATTAAAACAGTTTTTTTTAAATATTGTGCTAAATGAATTGACATTTTCTCGTCACTTAGTAATGATATTAATATATTTTCATTACTAAGTTTGTCAAAATTTGATATACATTTATTAGCTACAATGTAAAGTTTTAATCTAATTTCGTTGTAATGAGGACAATTTATGACAAAATGTTGTTCATCTTCAACATGGTCATTGTCGCACATATTACAGACATATTAATTAATAATAATATTTAAAATCCAATCCTGCATGCCGGCCTGTTTCAATTTTCAAGACAATTGTTGCCAAGTCTAATTTTTTAAGGATTTGCGAAGTTCATTGTTTTTCATAATTGTTAAGTAGTGTTCTTGATCTATTTCGGTTTTAAAAAGTTTGTAGGTTCTTAGTTTGAATTTGATTTTTTCCCATTGTCATTATTTATTTCATTTTTCCCACTCAGTTGTAAACTCTTCCTTTAATTTCTCATCAATTGTTTTTAATTTTGATAATGAGATAATATTTGTTTCGTTTAAAAGATAAGAATAGTTTATATTTTTTAATATCAAATCATAGACCCTCTTTTAGAGGGTCTATGATCAAATCAAGTTTTTCAAACCATTTACTTGTAATAATTTTATTGACATAGTATGTTTCTCGAAGTAGAGCATTTGTGAAATTTGCAATACGATTGGCATATTTTATCATTTGTTTATCATTCTACCAATCTTTAACCTTCTTCAGTGGGTTGTGTGGAGTTAATAAATAACAAAAAACTACAGTCTTGTAAATTGAATTCGGGCTAGTGCCCGTGTAATTTACTCGACTCAGAACAAAATAGTGAGCTTGTATTTGTATGCCCAAGCATTCTTCTAGTTTTTCTAATACTAATTACTAACAATGGATACACAGATGTGCTTTCTCACACTAACGCCTCCAAATACCTCCACTCTCGTTGAGTGGCGTGCAGTAAACCGTTTTTCTTATAGCCTTGATTGCGTGGGTACTTCCTGAAACAGTATATTGTGTGAAATCAAAACTTATTCTACATTCACGATGTATTACGTGCATTGTCTACTGATATTATCATCTAACTGCAATTATATAACTATTCTAATATCCATAGAGGTGTGATTTTCAATTGTAAACTGATATATGCGAGTAATTTAACCACGATCTAGAAGCTGTTGGTTTAACTACGTGAGAGAGACTTTTGGCTCCATAGTTTTAACCAACGCACAGTTCCTCCATGAGGGACTGTGACCAACGGAACGCTTATGTTGTGACGTCTAAATATATATTCGTCATCCGAAATGAACTAATCACAAGCAATATCCCCAGCAAGCGATAAAGTTATCGAAGTGCATTTATTCTGTGAACTATTTTTTATCGTAAATAAAGAAATGTTCATTGGCCATGAAATACCTATGTGTGTTTCACCAGCGTACGGAGTATTCTGATCATTCAGCTCAATCAAAACACCAGGCAGCCAAAACGTTATTTTATACGTGTTAGGTTGTATCATAGACCTTAAGGTCTATGGTTGTATACAGGTCTTGTAGAAATCGGTGGTAAGCAGTTTTTAACCTTGGGGACATAAATATGTGTAAGGTCCAATGAAAGGATTAGTGGTGCCAATGATCCGAGGTGTCGTTGGAATGTCAATCACGGTAACGCGAGAAAACAAAGAAATCAGGTGTGATATGCATGTAATCTGAATGCTTGTCTCCCTTCATACTCACTACGGAAAAATACTTGCCATACGAACAAGTCAGTATTACGTATTTGTACTGCACTGTTTTATTATAGTAACTTGAAAGGAAACGGTTATATACTATTTAATAATTGATTCACTAATGATATATGAGGTATGGCGCGAAATTTGGCATCTGTCCATACATGGACGTACTAACACGTGTTAGTACATCCTTGGTTTATGCAAATAATGGTCAGGAATAGATAAACTCGATCTTCCTATGCAAATAAGTGTTAAGGAATAAATTCGATCTGACCATGATCTGACCATGGTCCCCAATGATCTGACAACCCAATTTAGCAACATGGAGCCCAAATGTTCACAGCAAGAAATCTTGCATCATGAAATTCTTGGAAATTTGCATATTGTTTCCGTATTTGGACAGACACTTATGTCGCGTAATGCTCTAAGATGTTTACTGCCTTGACAGCCTAACCGGAAGAAGGTCACATGGTACGTAGGTGGTGACGTAGACGGATTAATACTTTCCAGCTGTGGAATTGTTATTTATTGTGAAGTGAACAAGGCGTTTATAAACAGTTTTCTTGAACCATAGACTGCATAGGTTGAACTCTGTACTGTATTACTTCAACTCCGAAGTGCCAGTTTGTGTATCCGTTGAGGTGAGTACATGCTAACGTGTTGACGAGTGTGTTGTTTATGACTGAAAAGTACATACTCGTCATTGGTCGTACATTTATTGGCAAGCATCTTTTGGAAACAATGAATAATGCTAAACTGTTATCAACCTTGGCGTTTAACTAAATGGGAAATTATAAATTACTGTATATCCATACTGACTTTGGCTTTGTTGGTCAAGAATATCGTTTTAAAAACCAACAACAATCTTAGTTTTTGATGTTATTCCAACTCTGAATGTGATGACACGGCGTAGTAGGCATGCATCGGAAATAATGACTTGAACGATAGTAAAATGTAACAAAATTTGGGGGATTGCTGTTCAATGTACAACAACTTAGTGTTACATTTTTCAACGTTCATATACATGAACAAATGAACATGGACAAATTAATAGCAATTCAAACGTACAGTATTATCCTCCATGAAGGTGTATGTATAAGAGGCTTAATTTGTCCGGGTAGCTTAGTGTATTAGCAAGTATTGTCCGGTGGTTTTGTCCGGGTGAGGTTTATCTACACTCAGAACAAACAGTGAGCATCATGCAATTGTATATATTTGTAATCAAGTAAAGTTTCCAAATTTAATTTCACTCATCACCAATAATACATCCCTCCCGTCTCTGCTAGAACATTAAATACCTTCTATTTCTTTACCTCCGTGGTCAGTAAAATGGCAATATAATGGATGTAAAACAAAAGCGATCTCCCATCAGCGTTCAGGCAACACCTCTAACGACAGAGAGATCCAGTATACCAGTCAGTATTGCGTTGTTTATTTGATTGGAGTGGGGAAAGAAACATGAGACCAGGCCATTTAATTAATAGTTTTGATTTTATCTACATGGAAACCGCAAAGGTTAAAAAGGTTTAAAATACCATTACATATTTCATACATGAAACTGAGTGTTTTAGTTCCACGATAGATGTATGTGTATACCCTTTTGATTGACCATGGACGTACTAATACAATCATAGGTCTATGATACAATGGACCGACAATCCACGGTATTACTTAGAATGACGTGTGAATGATTAGTTTATGTTTATTCTGTGCAGAATCAGATACAGAACAATGAAATGTTTTAAAATCAGAATTGGTACAAAATATCCCTGTTCCACTTACAGCATCATGCAGTACTTGAAGTTTCTTTTGTTTTTAGAAATTGGTCGAATTTTTTACTACTAGTACTATAATAATTTTAAATATTTATGACAATAATATTATTAAAGCTTTCGGTATGAAATTCGTTTGTGTATAAAAATATCTAGACACAATTCATGGACGAGAGTTGCTAGGCGATGGCCACCAGGAGTTTTCTTACACACGATAGTATCATCATGTCGCCTGCTGAGAAAGTTCAACGCTACATTATGTACTAGTATATACTATTACATTTTCTCAGTAAAATAGAGGAAGTAAACATCAATGAGCAATGTCAAAACTGATTTAACTGGAATTTACATACAAACCCATTTGAGTACCCACAAATTGAAAAGAGTGGTTTATTCCAGTAATTGAAGGTCGATCCCCACTAAAAGAAGCCGATTCAGTTGCACGGTTTACAGTGTAAATCATATTGGTTCTTCACACCACCATTCACATATCTAATATGTTTATGTTATCAGATTTATTAAACATCCCTCGACGTTTTTTTAAATGAAGGGGATTACATTCGTGCGCATTGATAGAACTTCAAAACGTGGCGTGGAACGTATATTGCATGTTCATGAGAAAATATGTCATGAATAGTATTTTTACCACAACTGAATGAAAACATGACAGTAAAGTCACTCTATGTACATGACACTAAACATATGGAACAGATTCCAGCGCGGTAGGGGCAGAGATGTAAGATAAATGGAATGTCTGTGGTTACACAGACCAGCTCCAATTTCTCGAGTCGTGTAATCATATATAGAGACGTTGCCCGAATCACAGCACGAATATATTACATGTGACTAGGTCATCTGAACAGTGCTGTGTGATTTGAGAAAATCAAGTAATCACACAGATATCTGGTGGAGATCTTAGAAACCTCTTAGGTCACATCCCGTTTCAACGATATGTATAATATCAACAAACGTATTTTATATT